GGTTTTCTCCTGTACTCTGTCACTCGAGTGAGCTGAGCTGTGACTCTTTGAAAAAGGGTTTTCCAACTTGACGGAACCTACGCATTTCTCTTTGGTGTGCAACATTCCCTTATGGTACACCAGGCATGACAGGTGGGCGAAGGCTTTCCCACAATCAGAGCACCCGTAGGGTCTCTCTCCTGTATGAGTTCTTCGATGTCTATTGAGGCACGACTTATCTCTAAAAGCCTTTCCGCAGTCACTGCACGTATAGGGCTTCTCCCCTGTGTGAATTCTCCGATGGTTAATGAGACCTGACTTGTGTGAACAAGATTTGCCACATTCGGAACACACAAAGGGAGTCTTTCCGGTGTGAAATCTCTGATGTGATATAAGGCAAGTTTTCTGGCTGAAACCTTTTCCACACTCAGTGCATACATAGGGTTTCTCTCCAGTGTGAGTCCGTTGGTGTATTAGGAGATTGCCCTTCTGGATGAAGCCTTTGCCACATTCGTTGCATGTATAGGGTTTCTCTCCCGTGTGAGTTCGCTGATGTACAATGAGATTGCCCTTCTGGATGAAGCCTTTCCCACAGTCACTGCATATAAACGATTTCTCTCCTGTGTGAGTTTTCTGATGGGCATTGAGCTGTGATTTCCAGCGAAAGGTTTTGTCACATTCCGTGCATTCGTAAGGTTTTTCTCCCGTGTGAGTTCTCTGATGTTCAATGAGTCTGGACTTTCTGGAGAAGGCTTTGTCACACAGACTGCATCCATGCGGCTTCTCTCCTGTGTGAACTCTCTGATGATTAATGAGCCGAGACTTCTTGATGAAGCCTTTTCCGCATTCATCGCAAACGTAGGGTTTCTCTCCTGTGTGAGTTTTCTGATGAGTGAGTAGCCGTGATTTCTTGGGGAAGGCTTTGTCACATTCGGTGCACTCATACCGTCTCTCTCCTATATGAGTTTTCTGATGTTCAGTGAGCCTGGACTTCCTGGAGAAGGCCTTCCCACATATGCTGCACCCATGAGGTTTCTCTCCCGTATGAACTCTCTGGTGATCTATGAGGCGAGACTTCTTGATGAAGTCTTTCCCACATTCACTGCATACATGAGGTTTATTTATCTTCTGAGTCCTTTGCGCCTTAAGGGATTGGGAGTTTGTGTTTACAGAATTAACACATTCAGGAAATTTTATTTCAGTATGATGTTGCTCATGCTTTGCATGGAGGAAAGATTTCGCATGTCCATTAACCTCAATTGGGTTCTTTACTTCACAGCTTCTGTTCTGGTTGACCAAACTTATATTTGATTTCAATGCTTTCCC